GAATGTTTTTAATGTAAACACATTTGTCACACTCATTGATTTTTAATCCATTTGCCAACATTGTTTGGTCAAATTTTGTATGTCATTGTTTGGGTGCTTGTTTAAGTCCATAAAGTGACCTAACAAGTTTGCACACTTTCTTTTCTTTACCAAGAACCACAAAACCCTCAGGTTGTTTCATGTAAATCTCTTCCTCCAATTCTCTATTTAAGAAAGTTGTTTTAACATTCATTTGATGGATTTTAAGACCATACACGACCGCTAGTGCCACTATCACCCTAATAGATGTTATCCTTATTACTGGTGAGTAAGTGTCAAAGTAATCAAGGCCTTCCTTTTATCTATAACCTTTGACAACAAGTCTTGCCCTATATTTGTCAATAGTGCCATCAGCTTTAATTTTTCGTTTAAAGATCCATTTCAAACCTAAAGACTTATTTCTCAGAGGAAGATCAACCAATTTCCATGTATGGTTATTCAAAATTGATTGAATCTCACTATTGACTGCCTCTTTCCAAAATCCTGAATCAGAAGACGACATAGCTACTTTAAAAGTTTGAGGCTCATTTTCAAGCAAGAATGTCACAAAATCTGGTCCAAAGGAAGTAGATGTTCTTTGACGTTTGCTACGCCTTGGATCTTCTATACTTGGAGTATTTTCTTTTGGTTCTTCCCGAGGTCGTTTAGGTCTTTTACTTAACGACTCGCATTTAGTTTTATACGGATAGATGCTTTCAAAGAATTCAGCATTATCTGATTCCATTACCGTATTAACATGAATTTCGGGATTATCGGATTTATGAACCAAAAGCCTACATGCTTTACTATTTGTAGCATATCCAATGAAACGCAATCTACTGTTTTTGGTCCGATTTTAACCTTTTTAGGTATAGGAACTTATACCTTTGCTAGATACCCCCACACTTTGAAATATTTCAAGTTGGGTTTTTTTCCTTTCCATTTTTCATATGGAATAGATTGCGTTTTGCTGTGGGGTACTCTGTTGAGTATCCGGTTAGCTGTAAGGATATCTTCCCCCCACAAACTCTGCGGTAATCGGAACTTATTAATAAAGAATTCATCATTTCTTTTAATGTCCGATTTTTTCCTTTCCGCAATTCCGTTGGATTGAGGTGTGTAAGGTGCAGTAGTTTGACGGATAATTCCATATTTCGAACATATTTCTGCAAACGGAGATTCATATTCTCCACCTCTATCACTTCTAATCATTTTGATCTTTTTATTCAATTGATTCACTACTTCATTCTTGTATTGCTTAAATGCTTCAATCACTTCATCCTTACTATTAAGCAAATAAACATAACAATATCGAGTGCAATTTTCAATAAAAGTAATAAAATACTTTTTCCCTCCTCAAGATGGTGTCGATTTCATATCGCAAATGTCAGTATGAATTAAGTCTAAAGGATTTGAATTCCTTTCAACATACTTATAAGGATGTTTTATAAACTTAGATTCAACACATATTTGACATTTCGATTTAATACACTCGAATTTAGGCAATACTTCTAAATTAATTAACTTCCGTAAGGTTTTATAATTGACATGTCCTAAACGAATATGCCATAAATCATTTAACTCCAATAAATAAAAAGAAGTTGAAATTTTATTCATACTGTCAACAACCATTACATTGAGTTTGAAAAGGCCCTCCGTGAGATAGCCTTTTCCAACATACATTTCATTCTTGCTTACAACAACTTTATCAGAAACAAATACACATTTGAATCCATTCTTTACAAGTAAAGAACTAGAAACTAAATTCTTCCTAATAGTAGGAACATGAAGAACGTTGTTGAGCGTTAACACCTTGCCGGAAGTCATCTTCAAGAATATCTTCCCATAACCTTCAATCTTGGCTGTTGCATTATTTACCATGGAAATCTTTTCTTCGGGACCAACAATAGAGTAAGTCACAAATGCTTCTTTGACAGCACAAATATGTCGAGTGGCTCCAGAGTCAATCCACCACTCCTTCGGATTTCCAACTAGGTTGCGTTCCGCAAGCATTGCACAAAGATCATCAATGCCATCATTCTTCTCCACTATGTTGGCTCTTCTTCTTATCCTTTTTCGGGAGACGATAATCAGGGGCTTTGTGACCAACTCTTCCATAATTGTAGCAGTTGGCCTTGAATTTCTTTTTGTTTTGCTCCTTAGTCTGTCCAGAAGACCTCTTCCTCTTCTTACTTGTTGGAGCAGTCTCCTCAACGATATTAGCTCCCATAATCATTGAATCTCCATGAGACTTCTTCTCGGTTGTTTTGTTGTCTTCCTCAATCTTTAGTCATATCACAAGATCTTTCAACTTCATTTCTTTGCGCTTGTGCTTAAGATAGTTCTTGAAATCTCTCCAAAAAGGAGGCAATTTTTCAATCATTGCAGCCACTTGAAATGCTTCATTCACGACCATACCTTCAGCAATAAGGTCGTGAAAAATAAGTTGAAGCTCCTGAACTTGGGTTCCACAGTTTTGCAGTCTATCATTTTATAGACTAGAAATTTGGCAACCACGAACTTCTTCAACCATGCATCTTTCGTCTTGTACTTCTTCTCAAATGTGTCTCATAATTCTTTCGAAGTATTCATCGCACTATACACATTGTACAAGTCATACTCTAAATCTCTTAAGATATAGCCTTTGCAAAGAAAATCTGACTGCTTCCACGCCTCAACAATCATGTACTTCTCATTGTCCGGCATGTCCACAGCAGGCACTGGAGGCTCTTCACTAGTGAATTTCTGCATACCAAGTGTGGTAAGCCAGAAGAACACCCTTTGCTACCATCCTTTGAAGTTGGCTCCAGAATATTTTCCCGGTTTCTCGGCCGGAGGAACAGTAGTGCGGCTTGACCAGGCTATCGTCTTTGTAGCAACAGTCACAGAAGAATTTCCGCTATCAATTGCCATTTCTCACTGTCAACAACAGAAGAGTTCAATTAATGGCAAAACCAGAATAGTAACAATACTATAATCAGTAAATAGTACGTAAAAAACTAAAGTTTTTATATACCGTTTCACAGAAAACGATGAAGTTTTAATGTTCTTCAAATCGTTTTCTGAATTTCAATATTCTGATGAAGTTTTTATATCTTCAAATCAGAACAATAAAATTCAGAAGGAGTAGAAAACCACACAGGTTTTAATCTCCAGAAACAGAATACAGAATATAATAAAACTGATTTCCTTAAGATTGTTATTAAAACTGTATTGCTGTAAAACCAATAAAACGTTAAACTTTCTAAAATAAAATCAGAAACAGTAAAATAAGTAGAACCAGTTTAACGAAATAAATTCTAAAAACAGTATAGGAGCGTCAAAATAAATTTTGAAAATAATGTAGGAATAAATCGAGCCCACTGAATACACAGTGTGTCCTTAAGGAAATTATTCCCCTCAAGTACCCGAGGTTCTGGAATATATCCTCCCAGGATAGAACGATTTAACTCACCGAAGTATTGGTACCGAAAACGCCGATGAACAACGAACCACTCGAAGGCTGTAAAACACACTGAATTTTTTTTTGTGCAGAAGAAGAAGAAGAAGATCAGAAGATTTCGTAAGTAAAATTGCGGGAAAAACAAACAAATTTAAAATTAATCCGGGAAAGAAAACGGACCGGATCGGACCGGGTCGCGAGTTGTTTCGGATTGAATTTTCGTTAATTAATTTAATTAATTAAATAATTAAAAAGAATTTTGTCCAAAAAGATTAATCAATCAATCTTTGACCAAATCTGAATCTGAAGCCGAAGCCGAGCGAGCGACGATAACGACGACGTGAGGGTTGCCTTCTTCTTAACTCTTTAAGAGCTAAAAGATGAGCTTTTATATATATACACAAAGATTTTCTTTCCTTCTACCAATGAAGGATAAAGTGCATTAGTAAAGTGAACTAATTCAAAATTTCACTTCCTTCCATTTCTTTTCCCACCATTTTCCATTCACACCTCTTTTGTTATTAATAACAAAACCCAACAAAGATGAGTAATTCACAATATAAAAGAGAGTACAAAATATCGAGGGAAAAACCTCACAAAGAGGCAAACACAAGTGACACACTAACACTTGTCCCAAAAAGTTCTCCCCCCTAAAGAAGACTCTCACTACAAATGTGACATTTAACTACAAAATTTTTAGCTACGACACAAAATTTGTCACTAATTGTTAACTTTTCGTGACAAAAATTACCTATTGTGTCTAAATACACGAGTCACTTACTTTTAGTGACGAAATACAAAATTTTATAGCAAAGTTTTGTCCACTAAAGTTTTCCACCAAAAAATGAATTGGCGTCATTTATTGAGAAATATTTAGCTACAAAGATTATATTATTAGTGACGAAACTTTTTTTGTCATTGACATTGTATACCATTTGTGACGAAATATCTTTTGTCTTAATAAATGCTTAAATTTACATACGAAAAAGTTTCGTCCCAAAAAAAATTGTTAAAATAGCAACAATTAAAAATTTATAGCTAAATAATGTGAACTTTAGCTACAAAATATTGTACTTATTTGTGACCATAGTTTTTGTCACTAATAAGGTAGATAATTAGTGACGATCATTTTATTGTCCCTATATAATACTTAATTTAGCCACGGTGAGGTTTTGTCTCAAAAAATATAGTGTCTAGCTACAACTAAAAATTCGTCACAAATCACTAATTTTTTGTGATAAATATTAGATTTCATATTTGGATGTACTAATTTAGGGATGATATTCAAATTTTTATAACAAACTTTTTCTAATAAGATTTCCTATTAAAAAAATATTAAACACCATTGACGGAATACTATTTAGTTACAAAAATAAAATTGCTGATCACATATTATTTCACTACAAAAATAGGGTTGCAGAGGTTAATATTGCTTCAGTTTTGGCGTTTCAGATATCCTCGCTATTCTAGTGCAATTTTTGGAGGTTTCTTAAAATAAAACCCTGCAATAAAATCATTTGCCTAATTTTTAGTTGGCAGGTCTTTATTTCCGCTTTCCCTCTCATTTCTTTTTCCCAACCCACTTTCCCTCTCATTCTACTAAACTCTACATATCTAACCAAACCCTAACTCCCTCTCTTTTTCAAGCAAAGTTTCGGGGTTCTCAGAATTCCCCCCATCGTGACATTCGTCACCACAGAAAAGCTAGATGAAGAAAGGTTTGCGAAACTTTGGAGCGAGAAACTGAAAATTCTCTCTTTTTTCACAGATCAAAATTTCTCTTTTATTTTGTTTTTTATTCCTACTCATCTCAAGTCAGCTAATGGTTGGTTCTGGTAATTTACTCAGTAATTGTTTTGTTAGTATTATGTTTAATTTGCAGTTTTTATCTAATTTTTGTGTGTGCGTGTGTGTTTGGCAGATTCAGATATGGAGTATGGATTCGTGTGCTCAGACGAGGTGCCCTGTGAACATGACTTTGATTTTGAGAACCGATACTACAACTCCAGAGGTTTTCTCTTTAAATTTCAAGAAGAATAAATGTTTAGGTCTTATTTTCAGACCCTTTAACTGTTCGTCTGGCAATGGAGAATGCTATTTCAACCACTTTGGACTTCTCTATGCATTCAAAATACTACAGAGCTTTCATTTTTTGATGAAAATAGAGCTTTCATTTTTAACTTTATTTTTAGATATCCTATTGAATTGTCATATAAAGTTGTATTTATAATCTGGAAATTTTCTGCAACATCATTTGTTCTTGACTGTGAACTGGTCGCATATGACCATGAGAAACAAAAAATCCTGCCCTTTCACGTGAATCATATGCACCTAGTCTATATATATTTTGGAGTTTTAGATTTATCTTTGGGACTACAAATGTGGCTAGCAGTAATCAAGCTCCAATTATCAATTCCAAACTAAGTTTGACTTTTGGTCAAGTGAAAGTTGATGCCAATCGATACCGGTCCCTTACTCTTATCACCACATTTGATTCTCAGTTTCCAGCAACTGCACCTCCCAGTTCTGGGTTGAATGTTAATGTGTGTACCTTGAGACTCAAAAGTTTGCTGGAAAGTGATAGTGCAAGTGACCATTTTCCCCCTGTTTATTAAGTGATATAACTCTTACATGTGAAGGATTGAGTATTTGTGAAAGGAAACACAAAAAAGAAACTATGAGATCAAAGTAGAAAAGAACATGGAATGAGGCTAGAAGATGTGGAGAGATATACTTCCGAACAAAAGTTATGAAATTATGTGTTTTGATCAGTAGCTAATCTGGAGAGATATTATCATTTTATATTTATGTGTAATTAACTAATTATGGTGTAAAATAAGGTGATACTTATGGATATATGTTCATGATAGATACTTATGGATATGTGTTCATGGCAGATCCTTAGGACACGTGCTCGTAAGAATGTTGTCGTGAGTGAAATCAAGGTCAACGTTTGCATATATGGTTTTTATATCTTGTATCTTAATGGACAACCACTTCTTTAAGAGCAACTTAACGTTTGCAGAAGGTATTTTTATTTTTGCGGTTGAATATTTGCTTTTAATTCTCATGATTATATTGTTTTTCTTTTGCTTCAGTAAATTCTTGTGTTATTTATAACATTTTGTGCTTCTGCGGAAAACTAAGTAGCATTTGGCACCAAGTGCATTGTCTATAAGTGAAATGTCTTATTCTATAGCATATTTTAAGTGTTTTACTGACGTCTTATGCTGCTATGAGATAGGAGAAAACATCATTGTGAAACACAACCCTGCTTGTGTAGCTGCCGGATGTAATTTCTTCTGAAACATGAATTTTGGCAGTAATATTTTTTCAAAGCTAGAAAGGCAGTGGTGTTTATGCAACTGAGTTTTGTGATGATATACGTGAAAATAAATATGTAATTAAGCTCTTACCGTGTGAATTTCTAACAACTTCTGCATAATGCCCTTTTTTAAATCAAGTGGCAAATTTAACTGCTAGAAGATTTTTATTTGGTAAAAATTTTGCTGAGAATTGATTGCCTTTAAATCTTCTTTTTTATTGCCCTTTTTTCCTTTAGTGTTTCCCTTTTCTTCTGTGTAATTCTTTGTTCATCTTGTGCATCTCATTTTTTCAATTGGCTCCTATTCATAAACTTACCTGGTTTTTGTTAACCATCAGTAAGTAAGTAATTTTATGATAACCATCTTGCTTTTGGAGAAAACGAGGAATAGGGTAAACATGACTCGAGCGTTGATGCTAATTTTAAGAATTTCTCTATTATGCTCTTATGTGAATAGGACAAGTGCTTTGCTTTACTAGGTACTAATCAGCCATATTAGAAAAGTTAGAACTATAATAGTTATACCTTCGGTAACTTATCTAGTAAACATGGAATCAGGTATCCTAAAAGCCAGAGTTGAATTGCCATTGGTCTTCCTTTGATAGCTTTCTCTATAAGCTTAGTAGTCTAGCTATAGATTACAATTGAAAGTTAACATCAATCACCAATTCATATCAGGATTATCTTTAGAAGGAAAAGATAATATTTTGAGAAAATCTCATCTTTGAGATCCTTCGACTCTATTGGGAGGACGTTTAGCAGCAGTTATTATCACACTTTTGCTCTACAAGCTCACCACCACCATTGGATTATCTCTTAATCATCAAGTGCTTTCAGATGAATCTTTTCGGATTGTATCTCTGTTTTCTTGAAAAATGCTATTTTTATTCTTCCATTTTTCTGCTTTTAACTGCCTAATGCATAAAATAGGGTATAAATGCAAAAGATTGATTTGGAAGTGACTAATCATTATTAATATTTTAAATCCTCTTTCCACTAAATTTGTTGTATTTTGCATCATTAGTTACAGTCATTGAAATAGTTGCTTCCAATTTAGTCTCTTAGGAAGTGAAGATGAACAAAATATAACAAGTCCAAGAGCCCTTCACAATTTTTGTTTCACTTTAATGTTTCTGGATTTATACTCTGGTTATGTGATTTATATGCAGTAATAATTTACAAACAACTGTAGTTACATTTGCAATGAAGAAAAATTAAAGTCACTATGTGTAAGATGCTTGGAAGTAGGGATAAGTAAGAAAACCATTATCGGCTGCATTTTGGTGCTCAAGTGAAATGTGTGAGTATTATTATCAGCTTCCTACTGTTCTTGATTTTTTATATTCTAGTCATTCTGTTTTTCTTGTTATTATCAACTCCAATAAATGTGTTTTTTTGTTCAACATTTTGGGGGTCAACTGCCACCTAGTTTTTCGAACTCTCGAATCAATCAGGTAAATTTATTACAAGTTACTATTCTATAGAGTATTATTTTTAATTNGAAAGCTAGATATGTTCATGTCTTCTTGACCTTTGGATTTATGGAAATAATTTAGCTATTTTGACTTTAAAAGAAAAAGGAAAAAGCGATGAAACCCAACTAAAACTAAATTGCACTTATTGCATCTTAATTGACAAGTTCTTTGCGGTTTGCTTATTTAATTTGATGTTTGGATACAAAGAATAGAGTCGGTAAATTACTGAAACTATAATGACAGTGAATCCTTGGGACAGTGAATGTGAATTATAATGTTAGGTATTAACATTGCAGACAACATCATCCACTAACAAGCATAACATTTTAATAGCGAATGTATAAATGAGTCATCAAAGAAGACTTTGGATTTTCACAAGCTATTTGTCTACTAGCTTCTTGATAAAAAGGACCTTCTGGCTACTTAATCAGTGTTATTGCCTAATCACAGCTGTTTGTTATACAAGTGGGTGCCTTGTTTCTATGATGTTTTAAAGGATTGCTTGGATTTTATTTTCTGAAACTTCTATCTTCTTTTTTCTTGTCAGTGAAATGAATGAATAAGAATATAAATAATAACTACATGTAATTGCTCGTTCAATTCACTGCATGTTTGATTCTAATTTGAGAAAGCCTACATAGTTTACCTTACATTTTGATAGTTAGTAGTTGCGTATATATGAACAGACGGTTGTCACGTAGATTAGTTTGTGATGTAAACTTTGTGTTGATATACTAGGAATCAGTGAACTTTCACTTATGTTAAGGTTGTAATGATAAAGTTCAGTTGTAATTTAGAAATTACTACTAATATATATGCTCCATATTTTTTGCATTTTGATATCTATATTAATATATATGTTAAATAGTATTTTGAATTGACCTTTTTTATAAATAGGTGCAGATTCACCTCTCCCCACGACCAGAACACCAGAGATGCACAACACGTGGGCCTTGTCTAACGAACGACGACTTTCGATTCTTCACTTCAAGGAGTAGAGTCGCTGCCCAACCCTACCTATATAAAAGAAAAAGAATCAATCACTAGGTCTCGAGCAATTCTACATTCTTTCCATTGGAGTCAAGGAAGGTTGTGGACAAGCTAGAATAAAGGTATTGAGAAATTAAGAAGTCTTTAGGAGAAAAGATGATGTTAGAGATCCTAGTTGGTAAATGAAGGTCAATCAAAGCAATTCCATAAAGGTATTGAGAAATTAAGAAGTCTTTAGAAGAAAAGATGATGTTAGAGATCCTAGTTGGTAAATGAAGGTCAATCAAAGCAATTCCATAAAGGTATTGAGAAATTAAGAAGTCTTTAGAAGAAAAGATGATGTTAGAGATCCTAGTTGGTAAATGAAGGTCAATCAAAGCAATTCCATAAAGGTATTGAGAAATTAAGAAGTCTTTAGAAGAAAAGATGATGTTAGAGATCCTAGTTGGTAAATGAAGGTCAATCAAAGCAATTCCATAAAGGTATTGAGAAATTAAGAAGTCTTTAGAAGAAAAGATGATGTTAGAGATCCTAGTTGGTAAATGAAGGTCAATCAAAGCAATTCCATAAAGGTATTGAGAAATTAAGAAGTCTTTAGGAGAAAAGATGATGTTAGAGATCCTAGTTGGTAAATGAAGGTCAATCAAAGCAATTCCATCAGCAGATCTATCAAATGAGTTGAGAAATTTTCTTTCGCTTCCAAAACAAGTGGAAAGAGCTCACAAGAAAGGAGATCGATGCAATAGTGATTTGATTATGTTGTACTTTTTTAGACAATCATATTTTTATTGTAGAACATTAGTTCATCATAAATGTGACAAAAAATAGACTTTACTTAGAATTTCCTTATCAATAATATAATATTTTCTTTGACAATGAATTATCTTTGTATTTTGGACAATTGTAATTGTCAATAATCATGATGATTTTGTAGTAACGTTTTTGTTTTGTCAGTAAAATTAATATTTTTAGTGATGAAATGATAATTTAACTACGATTGTAAACCTTATTTATAAAAGCAGAGTTGTCACTAATTTATACAATTAGGGACAGTATTTTTTTTGTATATAAAAGGCATTCTTTAGTGACGATATTGCAATTGTTCAACTGCGAAATATATATAATTTTATAGACAATTTATGTTGTTGCTAATTAAACTAAATAGTTAGTGANTGTTGCTAATTAAACTAAATAATTAGTGACAAAGCAGTTTTGTCGGTATTAATGAACTTTTCTGTGACGAAAATACACTATCAACTACGATTTTTTTATATCTTTTTTAATGAAAAAGTTCGTCATAAATTCTATTAATTTATGGACAAAAAACGATTTCGTAGTTAATATAACTTTATTTAGTAACGAAACACAAAGTTGTCTTTGTATACTATTAGTGACGGTATTTTAAGGACGAAAGATTGACAATAAAAATTTTGTCACCAAAGGCCTTTTGTGACGAGTTATGAATTTTAGGTGACAAAATAATTCATCACTAATAATCAAATTTGTTGTAGTGTTCTCAAACCTCATATCGCTACATTGTGGATGCTACTGAATGAGAATATAAGATTCTCAATTTATAGAAGCCTAAAGCCTTTTCCTCCAAGAAAAAATACTAGCCAAACATGAAAGAGTTAGAAAAACTCAATTATGATAAATATGTAGCTCTTTCCTTCAAAAGAAAGAAAACTAGAAAGTCAGGACAAACACCTAGCATTTCTGTCCCTTGACCTGAATTTTCTGACAAAATAATTTGATCCACCTTCTTCACATAACCTTTAACAGGTCACATCTCTAAATCCCCGCCACAAAGTTTGTCTCCACGTAAGTAGCACTCTAGTCAAATTTCTCATAAAAAACATGCTTACATCAAATATGTTGAGGATAGAACTAACCCGCCAAGATGAACCTGTCTTGAACCTCACTCTAATACCACTTATTAGGATCAAAATAACCAGGTGTCATGCGAAAGCTAACAAAACAAACCTTGAACGATTTTAAATCAAATAACAAAAGAGAAATATACCATTAGAGACAACATTAACGTGGTTCGGTCAATTTGACCTACATCCACGGACGGAGATGAGCAATTCGCAATATAAAAGAGAGTACAAAATATCAAGAGAACAACCTCACAAAGAGGCAAACACAAGTGGCACAGTAACACTTGTCCCGAAAAGTTCTTCCCCTAAATAAGACTCGCAACCCCATATGACTATATTGTGAATATTATTGAATGAGAAGGAAGGATTTTCAATTTATAGAAACCCTTTTTCTTCCAAGAAAAAGTACTAGCCAAACATGAAAGAGTTATTATTTCCTTTAAGGAAAAGAAAAACTCAATTATAATAAATATGTAGCTCTTTCCTTCAAAAGAAAAGGAAAATCAAATATATGGTAAGAAAGCCGGGACATCAAGTTTGCTTTACGTCTTTACTTAACAAGACATCAAATTTCCTTTACATTTTTACTCCATTCAAGTAACAATAACATGCTGATGTGTCTTCTCTTCCATCATCCAATTTCTTAGACCTTCGAAAGATGTCATATAATCTGATAATGAAGAAATTGTTTGAAGTCATTTCGGTGAATTTATATTATATAGAGGTTAATTTCTTTGCTTTTAATTATATTAACTTTCATTGTAGATAACTAAAATATTAGATTATTTATGATTTCCAAGGAACTAAGGAGATTAAGGTGCAAATCATTAAAAAACGAATAAGGTGTAAATCATAAAAGAGCACATATATTAAGGGTGCAAATTGGGAACTACTTCGCTTTAAGTGACTTTCAAGCCATTATTACTTTGTAAGATATATATATGGATAAACATGAGTGATTTTATTGGAGTTAAAAAAAGATAAATAATTTTACTAGTTAAATTCGTTAAGTGAAGGGACTATTTGAGGGAATTAATTCCAAAACTTTTGGTATTTCTTTTTTCTTTAAAGAAAAATCCTTCAGATCTAACTTAGGATTGTTTGTGAGGAAGAGAAAAAAAAAAGGAAAAAAGAATAGAGAAGAGAAGAGAAGAGGGAGTGATGATTGTAGCAGAAGGTGCAGTGTGAAACATGGACTAAGCAGTAAAATTCCAAGACAAGTAATTTGTCTTGAAGCCAACTTTAGACAATCTGTGAATTTGGCAATTTCTCAACTATCACTGCTTAGTCCACAGTCCTCAGGAATATTATATAGTCCTTTTTCGTTCTCTTTTTGTGTTATCTTCTGTGGAACAGGTCCATGCATTCGACTCGACTGACTTGTCCCAGTCTAAGGAGATTCTGTTCAATCTGGTAATTCCAATATGAGTACATACTTTCCCATGGAAATATTCAAGTTTTGGAGCAACGGTAAAACTATCTCCGTATAATTTATATGTCATGGGTTTGAGCCGTAAAAACAGCCACAAATGTTTGCATTAGGGTAAGTTATTTACATCACACCCTTAGAGTGGGGCCTTTCCCCGAATCCTACATGAACGCACGATGCTATGTGCATCAGGCTACCCTCTGCTCAAATCTCGTGCGCGCGAGCCAATCCCTTGGTCTTGGTGTTCAAAGATGGATTCAGAATTAAGTTAATTTATGCATAATACTAGTGTACTCATTATTATTTTGTTGACAGTAGGATAAACTCAGTATGAATATAAATATTTTGCACCTAATGTCCAAATACTTCATCTATACCTGTTGGTAGTTGTAATAAACGCAGCTTAAACAAGAAAAAGGTATATTTAAACAGGAAGGATGAGGAAAATGAGAATTACTACTTCCTCTACTTGACACGTTTTGACTTTTCACCGCCCCTTAAGAAATAATAAATGAAGTGTATAATTTATCATGATACCCATATTAATTAATTGATGCATATTTTATTCGATTTGAGAATGAATTGAAATGAGTAACAAATACCGTAGATATAACAGAAAATAAAAATTTATCTTCTCTTGATATGCATAAAATAATAAGTAAAAATAAAAATCTATTTTTAGTATAAGCGAACGCGGGCAAGTTTCCTCATTGAATGCTGCTGAAACAGAACCAAGAAAAAGGTCCTTTCAACATGTTCAACATTTTCTATTTTTGGAATGCAGAAAAAAGAGGGCTCTACTTCATGGACCCCACTTGCGGCTTCGGCTTAAAGTTAGGATTTTCGTTCTTTTTATTTGCACTCAATGTAAATGGACGAAATAAGTTTTCTATAACTTAATTATAATTAATTAATATAAGCCTAATTTATTATTTAATCATCCTAAACTCATAAAGATTTGATATAAATAATGAACAAATTAAGTGGAGCAATATTTTTTCTTACGTAGGAAGAGGGTAGAGGATATAGGTTGGGAGATAATTATGGGACTAAAATTAAGAACTCCATATCCCACAAAAACAAAGTTTTGGAAGTTTTTGCTATATTTCGCCTTAAAGCTTATCTCCTTCCACCATTCAACCAAAACCACAAAAAAGCAATAAATACTCTTTCAAGAATGTCCATGAGATTCCTAACCCTCACCAAACCCTTTTGCCTTTTTGCACATATTCCATTCAATTCATATATATAAATGGATTGTTTATTTTAAAATAATTTAGTTTTGCCTCTTTAAAGTCTCGAGTCGTTTAGCATAACTAATTTTGCCGTTTTATTGAAAAATGGATAGCCTCACATGGGAACTTGGAAAACTTCTATTAATGGAATTTTCTGTTCCTCCCTTAGAAGCTCAATCCTTTTTTCTCCATCAACATTTTACTCCCTCCGTATAGTTATCTCAAATTATTTGTTATTTTAAAAGTTCAAGATAAAATTGATTATTTTTTTCCTATTTTACCCTTAATAATAATTGTTCTTGAAGATGGAGATAACACATAAATAAAATAAATATTTAATAAAGAGAGATTATATCTTAAGACATAAATAAGGAAAGAATAGTCATTTCCTTTCCTAATTAATATTTCTTAAGGGCGTGTAAAAGAGAAATACGACATGGGACGGAGGAACAAAAGGAATTTATTGAGAAAGAAAGTTTAACCTGTATACTATCAACCATTTTGTCCCATGGATTCAAGTAATGGTATGGCATATGTATGTGATATATATGTCAGCATAATACATGCATGTTTTGGAAAACAGAATTTTGATATGAATCAAAGGGGCATGCAAATCATTTCTGGATTACAGTAACAAGTTTGAATATACGTAGGTGACGGTAAGATGAGGTTGACATATATGAAATCTGGATGTATATATATGGACTAATCTTAATTAATTAGTTAAATGTTATGTTTTTTTACCTTAAAATGCAAGTTGGTAATAGGCACATGTCATATTACGAGTTACGACCGTCCCAAAAGGCTGCCTGCTAAAAAGATCATTTAGATGTTTGAAAAATTCAGTATATAAAAGAGCAAACAACGAAGAGAATGAACTCTCTCATTCCAAAAGAAAAAAAATTCTGTGTTAATACAACGCGCCAGCTTGAATGTAGTTTTTTCTTCTTTTTTTTTTTTAATTTCCCACCAGATATTTAGTATCTATTTTAGGACTCGACTCATCCGAATTTGACCTGTGTTGGTTCATTACATATGGAAGTATTCCTTATAAGGATTTTTGCAATTTCTAAGGTTCGAATCCGATACATCTAATTAAGGGTGACGAGATTTTATTCATCCCATCAGGACCGATTTAACAAGACAGACTTACAAAGTCTAATTAACAAACAAGTTGTTTAGCTTTCCTACTCGCTGACTATAGGTTCAATGATGCGTGGATTATCAAATTAGAATTTCAGAAGAAAACATTTTGTATCACATAACTATTAGTGATACACTGAATCTGATTGTTTTCTTATTATACACATATTCTTAGCTAATGAACCGTTTATAT